TGGGATCTAGCCCGATGCCCCTGCCGGATCTGCACACCCCAACGCCCCTGTCTCCTTTTCCACACCGTGTGGTGGTCAGCTGGTGGCACCCTTTTCAACTTTAGTCTCTTGCCAGAGAGCATGTGTGCACTCCAGGGAGACAGAAAGACAGAGAGGACGAGAAAGCACCCCCATGGGGTGTGGTCACACTGCAGTCCCTTCTCCTGTTCCTCCCTGTTGAGATTTTAGGCGCACACACACACACACACACACACACACACACACACACACACATAAGCCTGGTGTCATTTTCAAGCCACCCAGGCTGGGACTCAAAGCCACCAGTTGGCCAAGTGGGATCCGGCTCCCTTAAGCACTAGACTATGGGGTTGGCCCTGTCCTCATTTCTCATCTCCTGTGCCCGCCCTGACCCCAGTACGCTGTGCGTGGCTCTGTCTGGCCACTCCCAGAACAGAGCCGTTTGGCGCTAGGACCTGGACCGAGCGAATGAATGGACGAGCATGGCCAGGATCCCTTCCTTGGCTGAAGCTCTGCCCCGGCTCCACTCCCCACCTCTGGCAAGAGAGTCCCTCTTGGTCCATTTCTGCCATCCCAGAGCTGGCGGACAAGCCATGCTTGCCAGCCCTGCCCCAGAGCTGCGCGGCCCGCTGGGCCCTGGAGGGTGTAAAGGAGAGGAAACAGAGCCGGGTATTCGCAGAAGCAGAGCGAAGCCTTTCTGCCCGCCAGCCCAGGGCCAGGGTGAGCGCCCCTCCTGGGCAGGGATCAGAATGCCAACAAGGCCCAAGGAGCTAGCTAGCCAGGGAGCCCGCGGCTGGGTGGAAGCGAGTGGCAGGATGGCAGGAGCTGGGACGAGCGCCCAGGAAGCCCGGGCGAGCACCGGAGCTGAAGGTGAAGGAGCTGCAGGCCACTGGGCCGGGCTGGGGCCGGGCCGCCGAGGGCTCACGGGGCTCCAGGAGCGTGCCGGCTGCCGAGGGGAGGGCTGGGCCGCTGCTGGCCATGGCGAGTGCCGTGGTGGGTGAGGCGGGAGGCAGCTGGGGGGCGCAGGCTGGTCCCATGGGGGCAGCGGAGGTTGTAGGAGGCCCCTTTGGAGACCCGTGAACCGGGCAGAACCGCTGCCGCAGGGGACTGTGAGGTGGCGGCTGGGGCTGCCGCTGCTGCTGGGTGGCTGGCTGGGGACCCCGGCGCCAGCTGCCACCACGTCCCTGGTGGCCGTGGTAGGCCAGCTGCCAGAGTGACTGGGGGGTTGGCCGACCAGGCCCATGGGCTTGAGGGGCCGCTGGGACATGGCGCCACTGAGGACAGCATCCTGGAAGGAGGAAGGAAGTGGGGTGGCGGAGCCTGCGTCCCTGGCCCTGGGGGCACTGGCAGGAGCCAGGTGAGTGGAGGTGGAGGCTGAGGCCGGAGCTACAGGGCCGAGGGGGTGCGGGGAGGGGCCGGGGGCTGTGCTCGCTGTCCACAGCCGGGCGGTGAGGACACACGGGGGGTGCAGCGGCCGGCCTGGGGCATGGCCAGCACCTCCAACCCACACCCTGGTCCCTGGAGGGCCCCTCGGGCAGGCTGGGCTGAGGGAGCGGACAGGGGAATCTGCTGTGCTGGCCTGGTTGGTGTGGTGGCTGTTGTGACGGGGGGTGGCCGCAGAAAGGCCAGGGGCTGGGGGACAGACCCTGTTTCCAGCCCTGTGGGGGCTGAATCAGACCTGATGGGGGGCAGCTGCCCCTCTCCACCCCAGCAGGAGCACCCACGGTCAGCACCAGAAGCCGAATCCCCCTTGCTCATACAGTGTGGGGGGTCGCCCTCCCCAGCTGGGGTCTGCTCATTGGCCTGGGGAAGGGGCGGACAGGATCCCGTGCCCTGCCTCACTCCTCTCCGCAGAAGCCTCTGGGGAGGCTGGGGCTTGGCCACCCACGAAGGCCCTCGCAGGCCTCTACCTGCCACGAACCGCCCCCCAGCACCTTACCTTTCTGGTGTCCCAACTCCGGGTCTAAGAAGTATCGCTCAGCGGGGGTCCGGGCGCCCTGGGTGAAGTGGACGCTGTACTGCTTGTGCATGGCGGCTGGGCAGCTGGGCTCCGGGGGCCTGCTCCTGGGGTGGGGGACAGGCTCAGTGCCCTGCTGCCTCGGGGTCACAGCAGAGGGTCACAGCCCTGCCCTGCCCTGCCCCAGGACAGGGGTGAACCTGGACAGGTGGGGTGGGTCCTTGGTGTTGGGTTCTAGGATGTGCATGGGGTGGGGGGGCAGGAGAGGGAAGGACTGGCTGGCTAGCTGGGCTCCGGGGGCCTGCTCCTGGGGTGGGGGACAGGCTCAGTGCCCTGCTGCCTCGGGGTCACAGCAGAGGGTCACAGCCCTGCCCTGCCCTGCCCCAGGACAGGGGTGAACCTGGACAGGTGGGGTGGGTCCTTGGTGTTGGGTTCTAGGATGTGCATGGGGTGGGGGGGCAGGAGAGGGAAGGACGGGCTGTCTCGGGCTGATTTAGGGTAGGGTGTTCTGGAGCCCCCGGGGGTCTCCGAGGAGCCAGGGCAAGGACAACAGGGAGTGTTGAGTGGATGCTGGGGATACAGAGCCCACGTGGCCGAGTGACAGAGGGGACCTGAAGAGGGCACGGTGGGACCAGGAGGCCGGTGTGGCTCGAAGAGACCTGACCCGCTGGGGAGCAGGCGAGAGACGGAGGGAGACACAATGGCCAAGGCCCTTCACCCACGGGCAGGGGATGGGGGTGGTGAAGGCTGGGGACCAGGTGTGTGCGCCCTGCCCGCCACTGCCTCCCCGGCCCAGGGTCCCCCTACCTGACAGCGGCCTCCGGCCCCAGCTCCCAGCCCCGGCCGCCTGCTGCCAAGCTGTGCCAGCCCGCCGGCCTCAGCCCTAGTGCCGGCTGGACCTGAGAGGCCTGAGGCCCGAGCTGAGCTGAGCTGAGCTGTGGCGCCCGCCCGACCGGTTTGCCTGCCTGTCCCCGCCCCGTCCCCAGCTGCCGCCCGGTCCTGTTGCTCCCTGCTCTCCAGGACTCAGTGTCCCCACTGCCCCTCCGCATCCCAGCTGAGGGTGTGAGGCGGGCCCACGGTATAGCCTGGGTGTCCTCATGCTTGGCCCCAGAGTCTACAGGAGCCCCTGGCACTTCGCAGGAGGGCCGGGCGTGAGTCCAGGACACGGGGGGGGGGTGCGGGGGTGCCAGCTCCTCGACAGCCCCATGGTGTGACCTTGGGCAAATGACCTCACTGCTGAGCCTCGGCTTCCTCATTGCTGGGTGGGTCGGGGCTGGGGGGCGGCGCCCTGCCTCTCGTGGCTGCCGGGGATGAATCAGGTGGGAGTCCGCCCGGCACCGGCCTGCGTCGGCCATGGCACCACTGACCCGCTTCCCGGCGCTGCCCCAAAGCCTCATCTGATGAGGACGGCAGGTGCCAAAGTGCCCAGGAGCTGGCTCCGCAGTGCGGACCATCTTCCTCACCGGCCCGGTGGGGCAGCTGTGATGTCCACTTTGCAGGTGGGGAAACTGCGGCCCAGGAACGTGGAGGCCCTGGCCTGCGTCACGCAGAGGCAGGGTGGGAAGCAGGCATGGGCCCCCCCCCCCCTGCCACATCCCCTTGCAGAGGCAGAGCTGGGGGCTGAGCAGGAGGGCACGGAGACCACGCAGGCCCTCTCTGCTCGGGCTCCTCCTCTCTGCTCGGGCTCCTGTGTCCCTGCAGCGGCTGTGGCTGTGGCTGTCCGGAGATGGGACAAACAGCACTTCCCGAAGAGCTGGGATGGTCTGGGACAGGGAATCACAGACTAGTGTCCAGGACGGGTGGTCTCTGGTCAAGGGAGCCACTGGCCCTGCAGTGACCCTCTCGTAGGGTTCTGCCTGGGTAAACACTGCCCCCCATCACTGGGCTGTGCCCCTTTCCCTCCACCCAGGACCTGGTCTCTGGGGAAGGCAGCCCATGCCCCACCTCGGGCAGGGCTCTGCCTCCCAGAAGCACCCTGTCCCCCCAGGAAGGCAGCCCAGTAACTGATTCACTGGGAAATGCCTGTCCCAGCCAGGACCAGGACCAGCGGTCTGGGGACCCAAGAGGAAGCGTGTCTGTGAAGAAACAGCAGGACGAGGCTGTCCAGACTAGCCCAGGGTTCAAGGTGGCTCTGGACACTGAAGCGGGCACGGGCCAGGCAGGGGAAGGCGTGTACAAAGGCCCAGGGCAAGGAGCACCGCAGACTGGGCAGAGAGGGCCGGCACCGCAGAGGCTCAGACGCTGCCCGCCGGGAGTGTTTTAAGCAAGGGGACCCTTCTTCATCCCAGCGGGGTCTCACCCCGGTTTCACTTACCCACATCAGACCTTGCAGCAGAGCGCGGCACCAGTCCAGCTGTGACGCCCCCAGATACTACAGATGCAAACGGAGGAGGTGGCAGGGTGGCCAGAAGCCAACTGCCTGGGACAGGTGGCTGGGCCGCTGTTCTGGGCACAACTGGTGTTGGCCAGGCATGTGAAGTGTGTTTGAGGAGGTGGGGGGATTGGGGGTGTCTGGACCCCAGCCCATCTCTCCATCGTCAGCCCTGGCCTGCCCTGGCCTGCATGCTGGGCACCGCATCCCTGTGCCCCAGGGAGAGGCTCTGCTCCGTGCACCCCGCTGGGCAGAGGCAGCCCCAGACTTGTTGATTGTGAGACGCTGGTGCTAGGGGCCGCCCTCGCTGCCAGGAGTACAACGAGGGAGGAAGAAAGTTCAAGGGCTCAGGCCATGGGCTGGGTGCAAGGGGGCCCTGCAGAGGAGGGTCTGGGAGGAGGCAGAGCCCCAGGGAGTGTTCCACCCCCCCACCAGTGCAGGACCTGGACACAGCTGCTCCAGGGAGGCCCCCCACCCCGCCTTCCAGACTGGCTCGGATCCCACACAGCGAGCTTTATTGAGCATCCGCCATGCACTGACATGTCCAATGGGGAGCCCTCTACACCAATCCCGACTGCGGCCAGGGCTGCCTTGCCTCCCACATCCATTCGTGAGCACGTGTGGTCCCCAGGGCCGGGGCCCCCCAACCCCAGCCTCAAGACCAGCCCCTGCGGTAAGGCATCTGTTGTCTCCCGAGGAGGGCGAGGGCCGGCTGAGGCTCGCTGGGGCAGGGCCGGGGTCCTCAGGACTTCTGGATCACCACCTGGAACTTACCTGGAAGAGAAGGGCTGGCTGGGACCAGGGGGAGCCAGACAGCACCGCAGCAGCAGCCCCGTGGCCTTAAGCCCTCCCTGTTCCAACAGCCTGGATGACCTGGGCTGGACCTGTTTCCGCACTGGTCCAAGGGGCGGAGCTCCCGCCCACCCGGCCTGCCTCCTGGAGCTGTGAGTGACAAGGGGCACAGGGAGGCCAAGCATGCAGGCCACTGGGGAGGGGCCCTGCACGGCCTCCTTGGCGTCCGTGGCACGTACGGCCCACATCCTGCCCACTTCCCCAGGGCCCCAGAGGGTGAGTGGGCGGCAGGGGCCAGGCTGCAGGTTCGGGGGCAGCCTGCGCCGTGGGATTGGGGCCACAGCATGTCTGATGGACGGCCTGCAGCCCCGCAGGGCCTGGGGCTCAAGAGGACACCCGTCAAGCAGGACAGCAAGTTCTATGGGGTCTCGAGAGCCCCCCCATCCAGCTGAAGCATCACTGGGTGACTCTAATACGTCCTGGTTCCATGCTGGGCGGGACCGTTCGCAGTTACGAGACGGTTCTCTCCTCAGGGCTGGCACACCCAGGGAAGTCGAGGGGCCAGGTGTAGACAGGCCTGCACCAGCTGGGTGGCTGGCCAGGTGACAGAGCTTTCTGAGCCTCCACTTCCACATGTGCAGAATGAGGCCAGCAGCCTCGGCTCCCGGCGCAGGACAGGGGCAGGGACGGAGGTGCTCCAGGGATAGGTAGGACCCCCTCCCCGTGACTCACAGGCAGGCAGGGCTGCTACGGAGGCGGTGACAGAGCTCTCGATGCCTAGGATGCTGAGGCTGCCACACAGGAGGCCACAGGTGAAGGCCAGGAACTGGGGCAGGGGACACAGACCACTGTGGGAGGCGCGGGGAGGCCACGCCAGGTGGCCTTGGGACGCTGCCTCGACCTGGGGACACGCCTCGCTTGGATGGGCGGGCACGTGGGGGAGGGAAGCGTGGGTGAAGTCCCAGCTCCCCCATACCTTGGGTGCTTCCTCCAAATACTGCAGGCCCGAGGCCATCGGGACGAGGAGGGGGAAGCTGTTGTCCTGCAGGACGTAGGTCCCCTGGGAGCAGAGGCCAGTGTGGGTTGGGCCTGGGTATCAGTGGGACAAGGGAGGCCAGGACCCAGTGCTCCTGCCCGCCACCTCCCACCCCCGCACCCCGGGCTGAGGTCTGGAAGAACCCCTCCCTTAAACTGCCATGGTCATAGGCCCATCCTACAGTAGTACTGCAGAAAGGCCTAGCTGGGGCCCCCCAACTCGGGCTTGGCGTCCACCCCTCGGGGATGCTGGGCCCGTCCGTCTGGCTGTGTGCATGATTTCTCCCAGGGCGGTGGCGAGAAGCTGGGCACCTGGCCTCAGAACTGGGGTTGGGGACCAGGCACAGCTGGGCACCGTGGAAGCTCAGACCAGCTTGAGGCTCGGGGCGTCCGGCCAAGGCACAGTACTGTTATGTGGGAGGCCCTGTGTGCTCTGGGTGCCAACCGGGGGGACCACTGCAGCCTCCCGACTTCCCTCGGAGGATCAGACAGGCCTCCCCCCAGCTTTGGACAGCCCCCCAGCTGGCTGCTGTGGGTTTCCGGCTCCGGCGTCATGGGGGGGCGGGGCTGAGCTGGACGGGGCGAAGCACGCACCCACCTGGTGATTGGTGCGGAGCCCGTCCATCTGCTTCCCGAACGCGGCCACCCACAGGTCCTTGCACAGGAACTTGAGGACATCCAGCTCCTCCCTGAAGGCCAGCGTCTCCCGGGGCAGCCTGGTAGGGCCGGGGCAGACATGGACCGGGGTCTTGCAGGGAGCCACAGCCTTCCCCACCCTGGACCTGCCCAGGAAGGAACCCCCCTGCCTGGGCAGGTCCTGCCCGCCTCTGCCAGCTGGGAGTGGGGGCAGGAAGGCCGCTCTCACCTTTCACCCAGAGCCTGGCCCACACGGAAGCCCATGCCCTCCAGGACCGACAGGCTCATCTTCTGTCCCTAGAAGGCCGGGGATAAGAGGCTCAGGGGCCCCCAGGTGTGCCCGTGGGCTTGGGGCTGCCGAAGCGCAGGTGAGGCGGGGGGCTTCACAATCTGTCTGGCCAGGATGTGGCCTGGGCCTTCAGGGTGCAGGCCGGCTTTGCCCTCTGTCCTCTGCAGGTCCCGCTCCCCTGGGGCGAGCTCTTCCCTGGTAGCATCCACCACTGTGGCAGGCACTGCCCCCGAGGCAATGCTGTGACCCATGCAAGGGGTGACCTGCCCAAGGGCTCACATGGCGAGAGCGCGGGGCTGGCCCACAGGAAGGGGGCCGGGACTGGATACGACCGTCCTGTCTTAGAACACGGGTCAAGACCCCCAGGAGGGACACACAGGGCTTGGGCGGCCACTCCCTGACCGGGTGCTGGGAAGGCAGTGAGGGCAGGTCAGGGTCCCACGGGGGCCAGAGGGCTGCACGTGTCTGTCCCTGCACCTGCAGGTGGGGACACACGACAGGGACACTGTGTTGTACCTGGGGAGCTGGAATGAGCCGGGGTAGGAGCCGACTAGGGCGTCAGACACCCCAGGCCTGCCTCGGAGTGGGCACCGTGCTCGGGGACTGAGAAGGGGCACGCACAAATCCCAGAGGGAGCATACTACCACCAGCTCCTCCCAGAGGGCTGCGGTCCCCAGACCTCCCCCGAGCCTCGCGCCCTCCCTGGGGCTACCCGAGTGGTGGAGGGGATTCTCTGCTCCACCCAATGTGGACTGGCCGCCCCACCTCCTCAGCAGACCTCCTGCGGCCTCCCAGGACCCCCTGGCCCCGCGTCCCTCCACCCCGATGACACCATGTTCCTCTGTGGACCCCTGGAAGCCCTCCTTAGTCCCCTCCTAGGTTGGTCCCCCCACCCCTGCCCACCCTGTGGGGAGTCAGCTCTGCAGGGCTGCCTGGACAGCCAGTCCACGTGGGACCCTCAGCAGCGGCACAGGCGTGGCACCTGGGAGGCGCTTCGTCAAAGGCAAGGAATCGGGGTTCGAGCATGCTGTGCCCAGCGTGTTACGCTCTCGTTGCACTCTAACACTCAGTCGCTGGACTTGGCACCTGGAAACGGGCTCAGAGGGGTGAAGAACCCACCAAAGGCACTGACTAGGCAGGTCCAGTCCCAAGCCTCAGGGTGGGCAGGTAGGCAGGGGGGTGTCACAGCTGTCCTGGGCACTAGGGAGATGGCATGGCTGAGCCACCTGGGGAGCACTGGGAATGGGACCTGGCGGAGGTCACCGGGGTGCGGATGACAACACAGCTTCCTGCCCCGCCCTGGCACTGCACACTCCTGCCTCTGGCTGCTTCCCTCCCGACTCCCAGGCACAGGGTCTGTGACTAATGTGGCGAGGAACAGGAGTAGGGCGTGTGAGACTGAGAGGAGGAGCCACGCCGTCTGCATGGTGACACGGGTGGCAGGAGGTTCCTGCGTGCTTCAGTGCAGGGCTCCCCAGCCACCTGCCTGGGTCTAGACCCCCTGACACCAGAGGGGACCCAAGGCAGGGATAACTGGCCAGGCCTCAGTTTCCTCATGTGTCAAAGAAGAACAATGTTGGGAACCAGCAAGTGGCATGGTGGTTAAGGCACTGGACACTCCCTATGGCTGACCATGGTTCAAGTCCCGGACCTAGTAGCTTGCTTTCCCACTTACGCACCCTCCTCCCCTGCCCCGTGTCTCTCTCTGGTCAAATTAAAATAAATGAATGAATAAATAGTTTTTTTGAGAGGTTTTTGCTATAGAGCGCGTGCGCTCGCCAGACAGACAGAGAGAGAGACAGAAAGTGAGAAATCACCCCCCAGGGGGGATGGCCACACTGCGATCCCTTCTCCTCCATTCTCCTCTCGGGGTCTTGGGCACACGCACACATGCCCGGCGTGAGTTTTAAGCCACCGGGTCCAGGACGCGAACCGCGGTCGACCACATGGGAGTCCAGCGACATAGCCATTACGCTAACTGCTGGTTCCAATAGATGTTTTTTTTTTTAAAGGACAATGTTAATACAGGTTGAGTATATCTTATCTAAAATGCTCAGGACCAGAAGTATTTCAGATTTTTTTCCAATTTGGGAATATTTGCATGAGTCAAATGAGGTATGCTGGAGACAGGGCCCAAGCCTACCCTTAAATATACGCACCTTATACACACAGTGTGAAGGTAAGCTTTTTGATTGCCAGAGGGGACAGGCACTTGCCAGACACAGAGAGGGAGAGAGACAAAGCATTCCCCATGGGGCATGGTCATGCCACAATCCCTTCTCCTCCATTTCTCCATCCTGTCGGGATTTTGAGCAGAGAGTTGAACCACAGTCGGCCATGTTGGGTTGAGTTCCTATAACCACTAGGCCACAGGCCTGGCCCCGGAAGGTAATTTTATATTGTCATTTTTTTTTAGTTTTTTGCCATAGGGTACTCACTAGAAAGACACAGAGACAGAGAAAGAGGAAGTGAGAAATCACCCCCAGGAGGGATGGCCACGCCACAGTCCCTTCTTCTCCATTCTCCTGGGATTTTGAGCACCCACACACATGTGCCTAGTGTGATATTCAAGCTGCCAGGTCTGGGACTTGAACCACAATAGGCCATGTGGGAGTCCTGGGCCTAACCACCATGCCCACCTGCTGGCCCCAATATATTGCCGCATTTTAACTGCGACACCTCGCAGGAGGGCAGGTGTGGAGTTTTCCACTTGGGACGTCACACTGGGGCTCAGTTTCAGATTTTCCAGCATTTTGGATTTGGGGGTTAGGGGTGCTTGACCTATCCTGGCCACCTCCTGGGGTCCTTCTGAGGGAGGAGTAAAGGGGTTGCCAGGGCCAGTCCAGCCCCAGGGGGACAGACAGCCCACCCTGGACCGCCTCCCTGCAGAGGAGCTCAGAGGCGCTCAGAGGCGCTCCGAGGCAATCTGGGCCTGGCGGTGAGGCGGGAAAGCAAGTCTTCCTCGGACTGCCTGGAGGGAGAAAGCGTGCAGCCAGGGCGCCTCGGCTGGGCCTGGGCCAGGGGAGGCCATGTCGGCCGAGGACGACGGCGGGCAGGGAGGGCAGCCCAGGCCCAGGTCACAGCCAGGCCGGACGGTACCTGAGAGCCAGCAGGCCCGTCAGCACGTGGGAATGTGCAGGGGGCCTCGGAGGGTTTCCAGCAGGTTCAAACTTTCCTTCCGTGAACTCCAGACTGTCTGTGTTTGAATCCCAGCTCCGCCGCTTACTGGATGTGTTACCTTGGGCAGGCGGTCTAACCACCTCTGCCTCAGTTCTCCCACACGTGCCACGGGGCTAATGGCCGTCCCCGCGCAGTGGTGGTGTGACCAGCACGTGGCAGCAGCTTGCTACTCAGGGTAGCCCTCGGCAGGGGCCTGTACCTAATAGTATTTGCTAGCGATAAGACTGGGGGTGTGGGGCACACGGGGAATGCCAGCAAAGGAAAGGGGAGGGGTGGAGAGGAGGGGGCGAGGGGCAGGTGACCAGAAGGGAGGAGACGCCTCCGCCTGCCGCCAGCACAGCCTGTCTCCCTAAAACTGAGATTGGGGCTCCATCGCTCTGCGGGAAAGCGGCCGAGGCAGGCTCTCCTGTCCACGGGACTCCCACAGCGCCCAGCTGGCATGGCTGGCATTTCCGGGCTGTGCTGCCCACCTCGGCTGGGCTCACACGACAGCGGGATGCCTGGAAATGAGCGAAGATGGAAGAGCAGGACGCCTCAGTGTCACACTGATGCCATTGACCCCACAAGAGGAAGGGCTGTTCTAGAAATGATCAGCCCACGGTCAGGCCCATGGACACTTTTTTTTCCTTTGAGAGGTTTTTGCTATACGGCGCGAGCGCTTATCAGAAAGACAGAGAGAGACAGAGAGACAGAGAGACAGAAAGCGAGAAATCACCCCCCCCCCCCCGGGGGACCGCAATCCCTTCTCCTCCTTTCTCCTCTTGGGATCTTGGGCACACACGCACACGCGCCGGTGTGTTTAAGCCTGGGGACTGGGACTCGAACTGCAGTCGACTACATGGGAGTCCAGTGACATAGCCATAATGCCAGCTGCTGGTCCCAGAATGGACGCTTGTTAACCAGAAGCAGAATGACTGACACATGGGGAGAGGCCAACACCGCCCAGCTTGTCGGGGAAAACGGGGGCGGGGGAGGACGAAGTGAAAGCTTGTAGGGTGCACTGAGGAGACCCAGAAAGTCTAACGCTCACCGAGCCCCCAAAGGACGCGGACACAGCAGGGGACAGCCGCACTCCGAGGGGTGGCAGGAAGGCTCCCTGCTTTCCTCCCACTGGAAGGAGCGCAGAGCCCGAGCAGGAGGGCAGGAAGATGGGTCAGACGAAGCCGGGCCCATCCTGAGCCGAGACGGCCCATCCCAGAACAGGAGAAAACGGAGAACGTTCTGGACTGAGGCTGGCGGGGGAGGAGGGGCTGCCCTGCCTCTCAGGTCCTTGTAAGGTACATGCATGGGAAGGTTCCAGGTTCGTGACCACAGGCCTCCCCCAAGTACCCGGGCACATGTGTGTGCACATGATCCATGGCTGGTCGGCGCTGGGTACGCTGCAGTGTCACAACCCTGTTGGGGTGCCATCTCTCTGTCTCTCTTGCTCATGGAAGAAATACTTTTTTTTTTTTCTCTTTTTTTTGGAAAGGTTTTTGCTATAGGGCGCGTGCGCTCGCCAGACAGACAGAGACAGAAAGCGAGAAATCACCCCCTAGGGGGGATGGCCACGCCGCAATCCCTTCTCCATTCTCCTCTCGGGATCTTGGGCATGCACACACACACACCTGGCATGAGTTTAAGCCACTGGGTCCGGGACTCGAACTGCGGTCGACTACATGGGAGTCCAGCGACATAGCCATTACACTAACTGCTGGTCCCGAAATAAATACTTTTTAAAATCACGGAAAGAGGAGCCAGGTGCTCCATTTCCCCAAGGCAAACGGCCCAGGAAGACCCAGAATTCCAGCTGTGGGTCCCAGGCAGGTGACGGGGACCTGGGAGGCTGGCACAGCAGCCCCGACCCTCCCACCTACCCCAAAGGACCAGCCTTCCATCCAACAGCCTGCACCTCAGACTGGCCCGTGGATCCCACTCGACCATTGGAGCTAAGCACCTTCCTCAGTAGGACACGGAGGACATGCCGTGCCCGAGGAAGGAAAAGCCAACGTCCCTGTCCGTGGAGGGGCAGACCGGCGCCACAGACACGCCCTAGAGCCGGACACCTGCATTCCAATTTCGCCTGTGATGGTCAACACAGGGCCTCGGACAGGCCCCTCCCGTCTCACGCCACAGTCACACCCCCTCCAAGTGGGACAGTAACATCTACCTTGATGTACTTTTGTTTTATCTGAGAACATCAGATAAAACACTGTATTTTAAGTGCCCGACAAACAGGGTCTGCGTTCGGCTCAGAGGAACACTTGCGGGACCAAAGGGAAGGAATGGGGGGTAGGGGGTAGGTGTGTGTGTGTAGGGGGGCAGGAACCAAAGAGAAAAGACAGAAAAGGGTGTAGCTCCCGTCGTGACAGGTCTGAGACAGGTGCAAGGCACCGAGAGCCACCAGGAGCCTTCTGAGGCCTGACTCCAGGCCAGACCCCAGCCTGGTCTCTGGGAATCTCTCCAGTGCGGGGCTCCAGAAGCCCTGTGGGGAGCAGAGCCCAGGAACCTACTGGGGTTTGTCATCCTCACTTGGCCACAGAAACCCATTAAAGCCCTCTGGAGGGAGACCAGGGAAAACTGAGCGACACAGGCGAGAGTTTACTACCCAAAGCTTTGGAGGCGGGATGCCAGGTGACATTCCTGACTCCTCCAGGCCATCAAAGCCTTGGCTACCTCATCTACAAAGAGGGGAAGCTGCTGGTGGGTAGGAGGATCAAATGCAGGGGGCAGTGTGAAGTCCTCACATGTGGTAAGGCGGTCAGGAGGCGACAGTAAGGAGGCCCCGTCCCCGCCCAGTTCCCCGCCCGCCACAGCTCAAGGGCTGCCGAGGACGCCCCCGGCACACAGTGATCGGCCCACACCGAGTGCACAGGCTGGCCAGGGAGCTGAGCGTGAAGCAAAGGAGCACACAGACGTACACCCTTACTGAGTAGGACGAAGGCTACCCAGGAAAAAGTGGGGAGGCCAGCTGTGGGAATGGATTAAGGAGACCCCAACCTGACTGGGGACCCAGAGAAGGCTTCCCAGAGGAAGGGGCATTTCAGCCAAGAGCTGAGGAATTAACAGGTGTTGGCTCAGTGAGGGTGTGACAGATGCGAAGAACAGGGACAGGGGCCCGCGGGAAAGAGCTGGATTCCCAGGTGGCTGACCAGAGTCCCAGACCTGGCAGCTTGAAAATCTTGCTGCATGTGTGCCCAAAATCGCAAGAGAAGAATAGAGAAGGGATTGCAGCGTGGCCATCTGTCCTCTGTCTCTCCCCAGTAAAAACACCACCACCACCAAAACGAACAAGGCGAAGAGGGATCAGGCTCATTTCACGGGAGCAGAGAGCAGGGCCCTGGGTGAGGGCAGGGGATGAGACACATATTTAAGCATATTTATTTCTCCCATGAGTAAGAGTGAGGGAGTCAGGGGGCACCCCCAACAGGATCTCCTGAGATCCACCCCCAGCCTCAGTCAGCCTCTGGGATCATGGCATGCCTGTGCCCAGTGTATTCAGGGAGGTCTCCAGATGCAAACCCAGAACCTTCCCACGTGGCTCAGCCTTGCAGAGCATCGCATTTCACCACGGCGCTACCAGCCAGCTCTGGGCAACGTATTTAGATAGAAGAATGACCATAACCTGGCTGCGGGCTGGAGATGAGGAAGAGAAGGCAGGTGTGGGGGACTCCTGTGTTTCTGACTTGAAAGCCAGGAAGGACAGGGTGGCATGACTGCTCCCTTCCTCCCTAAGACACAGGCCAACATGGGACCAGCAGTTGGTGTAATGGCTAT